GCCTGGGTGGCTCAGTTGGTTGGGCGACTGCCTTCGGCTCAGGTCATGATCCTGGAGTTCCAGGATCGAGTCCCGCATCGGGCTCCCTGATCAGCAGGGAGTCTGCTTCTCCCTCTGACCCTCCCTCCTCTCATGTGCTCTCTCTCTCTCTCATTCTCTCTCTCAAATAAATAAATAAAATATTTTAAAAAAATAAAATATTTTATAAAGAAGACTATAACACTATATTGTAGCGTATACAGCATATCTGTATGTGATCATATTTGACAATAATAGCTCAGAGCGGAGTGGGAAATAGAGGTATATGGAGCAAAGCTGCTACATTTTACTGGAATTCAATCAGTATTAACTTAAACTTGACTGCGGTAAGTAGGGCATCTGAGATTACTTAAAAATAAAATCTTTGTTATTATTTTTTATGTTTTTTTAAGATTTTATTTATTTGACAGAGAGAGATACAGCGAGAGAGGGAACACAAACAGGGGGAGAGGGAGAGGGAGAAGCAGGCCTCCTGCTGAGCAGGGAGCCCGATGCGGGGCTCGATCTCAGGACCCCGGGATCATGACCCGAGCTGAAGGCAGATGCCTAATGACTGAGCCACCCAGGTGCCCCTGTTATTATTTTTTTAAATAAAATCTTGGGTGCCTAGCTGGCTCAGTTGGTTGGGTGTCTACCTTTGGCTCAGGTCATGATCCCAGGGTCCTGGGATCGAGTCCCTGAGCAGGAAGCCTGCTTCTCCCTCTGCCTGCTGTTTCCCCCACTGTGCTCGCTCTTTCTCTCTCTCTGTCAAATAAAATCTTTAAAAAATAATAATAAAATAAAATCTCTAAAAATAAATAAAGTTGACTGTGATAAGTTAAGATATATATTGTAATCCCGAGTGACCACTTAAAAAACTACTTTCAAAAAGTACTGCTAAAAAAAGTCAGTAGAGGAATTTAAATGATTCATTAAAAATTGTTTGACACAAAAGAAAGTAGTGAAGGATTAACAGAGAGGAAAAACAAATAGCAAAGAGGGAGGCATAGAGGCACCCGGGTGGCTCAGTTGGTTAAGCATCTAACTCTTGATGTCGGCTCAGGTCCCTGATCTCAGGGTTATGAGTTCAAGCCCCACACTGGGCTCCTATGGAGCCTACTTTTTAAAAAAAATTGTTGGGGCACCTGGGTGGCTCAGTTGGTTAAGCATCTGCCTTCAGCTCAGGTCATGGTCCCAGGGTCCTGGGATTGAGCCCTGTGCCTGGCTCCCTGCTCAGCAGGGAGCCTGCTTCTCCCTCTCCCTCTGCCTGCCACTCCCCCTGCTTATGCTCTCTTTCTCTCTCTCCCCCTCTCTCAAATAAATAAATAAAATCTTTAAAAAAATAAAATTTAAATTTAAAAAATTTTTTAAAAATTAAGTTTAACACAAAAGAAGGTAGTGAAGGATTAACAGAGAGCACAAAGAGCAAACAAGGTAGCCGGAAAGGCAATTATCTCAATGATTACCTCAAGTGTAAATGAAATAAACATTCCAGTCAAAAGGCAGAGACTGATGTCGTGGTCAGCCAACAAGGTGGCCTCCAATGGTGTTCACACCCTTGTGAACTCTCCTCCCAAGCTGTACCTGCGTTGCTGTGTGTGACTAAGAATATGGCAGAAAGTTAGGTTCTAAGAGACACTCCAGCTTCTCTCACTCCTGGATCACTCCTCTAGGAGGAGTCAAGATGCTTCTCGAACAATCGTGTGTAATGGCCCATGTGACGAGAAACTGAAAACTGCTGCCAACAGCCAAGTGTGTGAACCTCCCCAGAGGAGGCTCCTCTCGTCCAAGTCAAGGCTTCTGCGCAGAGGTTGCAAACCTTTTCTGTAACGGCCACATGGTGAATATGTTAGGCATTGGGGGTGATCTAGTCTCCACCACAACTGAACTCCACCGACCAAGCACAAAAGCAGCCATTGGGCAGGACGGACATGCAAGAGGCTTGCTGTGTTCCCATAAAACCTGAGTTATGGACACTGAGATTTGAATTCCATATACTTTTTAGTGGTAAGAAATATTCTATTTACTTACTTACTTATTTATTTATTTATTTATTTATTTATTTATTTGAGAGAGAGAGAATGAGAGAGAGCATGAGAGGGAAGAGGGTCAGAGGGAGAAGCAGACTCCCCGCTGAGCAGGGAGTCCTAAGCGGGACTCGATCCCGGGACTCCAGGATCATGACCTGAGCCGGAGGCAGTCACTTAACCAACTGAGCCACCCA